AAAAATGGCGGGGGAAAGCCGGAAGCCTCAGGCTTCCGACGGAAGTGGCTGTACAACGTTTGGAGAGCGATCAGACGCCGGGGTGCACCGTTTTCAACCGTTGCACTCAGTTTACCACCACTTGGGACCTAGTGGCAGAGTGCAACGGTTTAAAGGGATTTACAACGGTTAGGGACAGGAGGCAGATGTTCGCCGTGTGAACGCCCGTAAGTACACCGGTTGGAACCGGCACCCTAACCGTTGTAAATCCCCCGTCTGAACGCACCCTTTCACTTATAAAGCAGGGTTTTGCAGTGTATATATTTGTTGTTTGACTTTTCTAACACTGCAGCTCGAGTTTCCACAACCTCCAGGTGGGGCCTGGGGACCTCCCGCTTTGACAACTGATCTCCACCCGACAGAGATCAGTTCCCCTAAAGAAAACGGCTGCTTTGGAGGGTGGACTCTAGGGCGTTGTGCCATGCTGAGGCCCCTCCCCAAACCCCGCCCTCTCCCGGCTCCACCCCCAAAGTCTCCAGGTATTTTCCAGCCCAGACCTGGCAACCCTACTGCAGGGGGACTGTGGCAGCATGTTTGTGGCTGTGCCCACCACACTGTGTCAGGATTCCAAAGGTGCCCTCTGGCTCAAAAAGATGGTGGACCCCTGCTAGAAGTGATGTCAGGCAGGGAGAGTGCTATGAGGTGGGAAGTCCAAATATGGATTTCGGTGGGCAGAAGTTACCTCACAGGACGGGGAGGGGTTGGGGGAGCCGACTTGGCTGCCAGTGTGGACCTGCCGTCACATTCAGGTTGACCTCCCTCCTCCCCCAGTTCGACCATCTGCAGGCACCACCCTCAACTCTCCAGGGACTTCCCAATCTGGAGGTAGCAGCCCTAGATGCCAGGGACCAAGATTTAAGAATGGAAGTCAAACCGTGCTGCTAGGAAGGTACAATTTTGTTTTCTTCCAGTTGGCTGCTGCTGTTTTGCCGTGCTGAAGAGACCATACATTTGCTGTCGTTTACTGCATTCAAAAGTGGCAAGTCGGCTAATACCTTATACATGGAAGAGGAGGAGGAGGAGGAGGAAGAAATTGGATTTATACCCCACCCTTCACTTGGAGTCTCAGAGTGGCTTCCAAACTCCTTTCCTTTCCCCTCCCCACAACAGACACCCTGTGAGGTAGGCGGGGCTGAGAGAGCTCTTGACAGAAACTGCCCATTCAAGGACAAATCCTGTAATGTATTCAGCCTGACATGCCCGGACTTGCCCGGGCTGGCCAGGCCCAACTCTTCAATAGCTTCATGTCCAAAGACAATGGGTCCGTAGGATCCTAGCCGGCCCAATCAAAGGGCCAGCTTCTCAGCCGGGAGACCAATGGTCGCCCGGTTACTGTAAATAGCCTATCGGGAGTAGGGGGTGTGTTTAGGTGTACTTGGTGGCGGGTTTTCTGAACATATATAACCAGCCTGCGAGCTGGTCCCTTCGTCTTTGTCCTGAACTAAATAAAGGTATGCTTAGCTGAAATCACTCTCCGTCTGCATACTTTTCACTGGCGACGAGGATGGGATCCACGACCCCATGAACAAAGACCCGGACGCCAACACGAGCACCGCACCGAGCCCCGACGCCGAGACCTCCGGGAACCACGCCGCTTCGCTTCCCAGCTCTCCGGCAAACGCTCATCGCGCAGCTCCCGGCTCCGCTTCGCTCCCTGCTGACCCCGAGAGCAGCAGCGGCCTCCACAACGCTCCCGACGCCATCGCCGTTCCAGAGGCCACCCCACCACGTGGCTGCAACACAATGGCGACCGCGACCGCAACTGAAAGCCTGCCCGCTTTCGATCTCTCCCAGCCCTCGCTGTGGGACACCTGGCTGGACACGCTGGAGAGCCGCTTCACCATCCACAAGGTGGTGGATGACGCGATGAAGAAGGCTTACCTGCTGAGCCACTGCGGAATCCAGACCCATCGGCTCCTCAAGGACTTAATCTCGCCCAAACTAACGAAGGACGAGTCATACAGCTCCTTAGTC